CTCATCTCCAAATGGATGGATCAGTAGAGAGCTGTTTTTGTACTGGTTTCGTAAGCTGTTTTTAACAAGTGTTCCTAGGGTACGTCCTCTCCTTCTCCTGATGGATGGTCATTCTACTCATTATGGTCCTGACCTTATCAAGATAGCAGCTGAAGAGCAAATTTTAATATTTGTATTGCCACCCAATACCACTCATTTAACACAGCCACTTGACAAAGGGTGTTTTGGGCCATTAAAAACTGCTTGGAAGGCTGTGTGTCATGAGTTCTGCACTAAAAACCCTGGTCGTGTGGTAACCAGATACGATTTCTCTGTATTATTTGCTGATGCATGGAGAAGGTCAATGACACAGAGAAACATTGCAAGTGGCTTTGAAGTAACCGGCATATGTCCTTTCAACAGAAATGCTATTAAAACTGGCAATGACAAGCAAGAAACCATCAGCCGTTCACTGTTAGACCAGACTGGTCTAGCATACATACCGCTCTATAGTCCAGACATAAAGAGAACGAGGGATCACGATTCTTCATTCAATTCTAGTCTCTTGGAGAGATCACTTTCAGAGAATGATTTATCGCAAGCTGTCACTCCAATGCGAAGAGTAATGCCTATAGAGTCTTTTCTGAAAACTCCTAGTCATCCCAGTAGCAAGTCCACCCTGAAGCCTAAATCATGCGGAAGAGTATTGACTAGTGTTGAATTCATGACATGTATAGAGGAAAAGGAAAGAATGAAGCAGGAAGCCTTGAAGGAGAAAGAGCGTAAAAGAATTGCTAGACTTGAGAACCAGAAGGAAGCTAATAGAGTAAAAGAGTTGAAGAGAAGTGCAAGTAATATATCTTATTGTGAAAAATTTAATCTGATATTGGACCATATTTTTAGATTTTACTATGAGTGAGCACAGGCAATTCTCTAAGAGGTTTGAAAATGGGTATGACATTCCGGATGAGAGGTATGAGTTATGGGTTCAGTTATATCGTCCTAATATGACATCTCAAGGTGGGTGTTGATGAATTCATATTATTATGTTGAACATAATGTATTTATTAATATTAAGATTCAAATGCTGAAGATGAAGACCAAGATTCCTTGAGTAATGGTATGTAACAGTAAATTAGTATTTCATTCATTGGTAATTGTAGACACTGATGAAGGAGAAGAGCTTTCAATGAGTGCTGCAAACAGTATGCATGAAACATAATATTATTCTATAATGCTTTATAATTGTGTAGGTATAGAGACACAGACACATACTGTCACAGCTAATAACAGTAAAGGCCTTTAAAATTAGCTGCAATACTTTTTATTATTAATGTAGGAGCAAAAAGAGTTGCACCTATCAAGGGAACCGCTGCTACTAAAGGTGTATTCGTATCACTATTAATTATTCTGATTTATTTTTAGAGACAGTTGATGCCTCTGTTACTTCTAATGCTAAGAAGGCTGTGAGGTCTAAAGGTATGTCTCAAATAATTTATGCTTGTCATTATTTTTTAATTAGAGACAGCAATCGCTGTACCTACTACTAGGAGTGTTAGATATAAAGGTATTGTAATATTAATAGTTGTTAATGTAATGGTTCATGATAATAGAGAGAGTTTACCTATGAAGAAA